TGTGTGAGTGAGTGTGTGTGTGTGTGAGAGTGTGTGAATGAGTGGGTGTGTGTGTGTGTGACTGTGTGTGTGTATGTGTGTGCGCGTGCGCGTCTGTGTGTGTGTGTGTGTGTGTGTGCATTTGTGTGAGTGTGCAAGTGAGTGTATGTGTGTGCGCGCACATCTGTGTGTGTGCGCATGCATGTGTGCATGTGTGTGTGCGGGTGCACGTGTGTGTGTATGTGACTGAGTGAGTGGGTGTGTGTATGAATGTCAGTGTGTATGAGCGTGTGTAAGTGTAAGAGTATGACGGTTTGTGAGTGTGTGTTCATATGAGAGAGAGTGTGTGTGTGCATGAATGTGAGTATGTGAATGTGTGACAGTGAGTGTGTGAGAGTGTGTGAGAGGTTTGGACGGATGTGTTATGGGTACACGGATGTGGAATTGTCAGTCGCTAGAAACAGAGGAAATGTTATCTCATACTGTTCTTGAGAAAAGTAATCCTGAGGAAGAAACTCCTAAACCAAGGAGTGGATATGTATTTGATCCCTTCCTACGTGCCAGCAGTAAGTGTGCTCCCTCCTGTTCTTCAGTGAGGCTAGGATCGTGGATCCATTTAATGGACTCCTCAATCCTATCACTCATTTCTTCCCAGAGGCGCCTGAGTTTAAGATCCCTGTTACCAAGTCAATGCAACATGGAGGGAAGAATGAAGACAGTTGAAGGAATTTGGTAGAAGCCTGCATTACAATGACTGGGAGTCAATTGTAGACAGCAGCAAAAGCAGAGATGTGGTGTTCCATAAGGTTTGGTGCTGGGATCACTGCTCTTCATAATTCACATTAACCATTTGAACTCTTGAATGAAAATCACAACTTTATGATTTTAATTAAATAAAAGAGTTGTCTGAGTTGACCAAATTACAATTGGCAGCCATTATGTGGCACCACGACGAAAAATCAAAATACAAAGCAAATTTCCAGAAGTTTAAATTAAAATACCATGTTGTGTGGTGATGATCATTGCCCCTTCATGCTCACTGGTTGTGACAGGCCAAAATGATAACTTCCGAGTTTTTGATCACACCCCCAATTTGGAGGCATGGCTAATACAGAGGAAGACTCCAACAAGTTATAAGGGAAAGGCAAATAATTGGCAAAGTTTCAATGCAGAGAACCGAGAGGTGGTATATTTTGGGAAGGAGAGTAGGGAGGTCACCTATCACTAGGAAGGTGAGAGTCAAGGTGGGTTTGGAGAACAGAGGGATCTGAAAATACAAATGCAACCATCACTAAAGATATTGCAGATTAACAAGCCCAGAAAATAAGACTACTTTATTTCTAGAGGAATAGATTGGGGAAGCAGAGGAGTTAATGTATCAAACCTAGGTTCAACAACACTCCATGTGTGTGTGTGTGTGTGTGCGCGCGACTGTGTGTGTGCGTGTGCATGTGACTGTGTGTGTGTGAGACTGTGTGTGAGAGACTGTGTGTGTGTGTGTGTGTGTGTGTGTGTGTACGCGCGCGCGCAAGGGCTATAGAGTTCAGTAGTGGTGTTATATGCCATCAGTTTATAATTGCATGCCCATAGCTAGAATGTAATAACATGTAATAAATGATAGTTTCTTGTTAAGTTCACTAACCTGGTCTGTGGTATCTTTCAACATGAGTCAGAAAATTAGGTAGTTTGGGGATTTTGCCTCTTTCTTTTAAAAACATTGAGTCTTGCAATGACTCTGGGAATAGTAGGGACTTCATTTCTAGTGCTCTACCCCGTGAGTTGTGATGCTATTAAAGGCAGTCAGTTTAAATTCTCCAAGGTCTCTTGAGTCAGAATTTGAGACATTTTTTTGTGAAGGGTTCCAGCTGCCTGATAACTGATTGTTGGAGGTTAGACCTCACAGGTACATCTGCAGAGCGTGTTGGTCTGCACAGTCCCAGTCTACATGGTGGCCATAACTATCTCTCCATTGGTGCAAAGCTTTATCATGCAAGTCATCAGAATAATGGTGCTTTCAGGAACAAGGAGTTTCAGAACAATTAATTTCAGAGTTTTCCTCAGTACTGCTAATTGAGGGCACACACCCCCAGAGACACACCGCTGTTCTCAAGGTTCCCCCCCACCCCCACAGAGACACACTGGTGTTCACGAGGATCACCCCCACAGAGACACACTGGTGTTCACGAGGATCCCCCCCCAGAGACATGCTGGTGTTCACCAAGGACCCCCCCACCGACACAGACACACCGGTGTTCACGAGGAACCCCCCTAGCCGGAGAC